CTTTTTCGTTTGTACCCTGGAAAAGCGAGGGCTCTTTGTTTCGCTGGAGAATCCGTGACGTGACGAGTTGCCACGCTAATGCACTCCCTGCAAAGTATGCAATAAATTTGACGCATGTGTCCGTGTGCGGGCACCTGGATGTCTGTCTCTGTGTGTGTGTTTTGGGGAGAGAATGGAAGGGAGAAAGGATCCCCTGTCAGCTCAGCCATAAACATTAACAGCTTTCACTTACTTGCTGCACTACGAAAATTAACCCTAGCTTCTGTTGCGGAAAATCCCAGTATTTAAAAAAAAATTACAAAAAAGGAAACTAACTTTGAGAAGGCGAAGTGTGTATACCCTTGCAGTCACGCCTAGGATCATGGGTTCGAATGGGAAATCGACCGTAGGTAATACAAAGATGCACTAATATAAACGTTGTTTGAAAATTCACTTAAATATTTTCTCGAATTTGCATTCCAAATGCTTTATTTTTTATTGATTACGATTTTAAAGCAAATATAAATATATTAATATATATATAAAATATTTAAAGTATATTAAGGAGACATTTGTATGTGCACATTTTTGGGTAAAACATTTTTTTCCAAGATCATAACTAAGCCAAAAATGCATTAATTTCAATTCGGAAAGCTGTTTTGTGCTAGTTTTCATAGGGTTAACAAATCTGCATATTCAGTTTTAAGACTTTATAAATTTCAAATTTTGTCAAATTTTAAATTTTTGATTAATGTAAAATTTGGCCTAAAAAAATATAAAAATATTGAAAAAAATAAATTTCTTCCGAATATAGCTAGATCGACTCGGCTGTTCGTGCTGATCAAGAATATATATGATTTATAGGGCCGGAAATGACTCTTTCACTGTGTATTAAGCCTCCGACTTAAAAGATAATACCATTTTTACATATATATCTTATATTTTTATATGACAATTTTTTCAACAAATCAAAGCTTAAAAAACTCATAACTAAGCCAAAAATGCATTAATTTCAATTCGGAAAGCTGTTTTGTGCTAGTTTTCATAGGGTTAACAAATCTGCGTATTCAGTTTTAAGACTTTATAAATTTCAAATTTTGTCAAATTTTAAATTTTTGATTAATGTAAAATTTGGCCTAAAAAAATATAAAAATATTGAAAAAAAATACATTTCTTCCGAATATAGCTAGATCGACTCGGCTGTTCGTGCTGATCAAGAATATATATGATTTATAGGGCCGGAAATGACTCTTTCACTGTGTATTAAGCCTCCGACTTAAAATATAATATCATTTTTACATATATATCTTATATTTTTATATGACAATTTTTTCAACAAATCAAAGCTTAAAAAACTCATAACTAAGCCAAAAATGCATTAATTTCAATTCGGAAAGCTGTTTTGTGCTAGTTTTCATAGGGTTAACAAATCTGCGTATTCAGTTTTAAGACTTTATAAATTTCAAATTTTGTCAAATTTTAAATTTTTGATTAATGTAAAATTTGGCCTAAAAAAATATAAAAATATTGAAAAAAATAAATTTCTTCCGAATATATCTTGATATATGGTTTATAGGGTCAAAAACGACTCCTTCCCTACTTTTTAAGTTCTTGACTGAAATTATAACACCCTGCGAGGGAAGACTATTTCATTAGATGGCACAACTGATTTAAGGCCTCCCTCCTATAGAATCTATATAGATAGTTATCCAGATATGTTGCCCTAAAGGGCAATCACTATCACTTTCACTCTCACCATCACTAAAGATGTATACAGCACGAAGGCCGCGGACAGAATGAGGCCACAGCGATGGCAGTGCCCGTATTTATAGTCTCCGAGTAAAGAGAACAGAGAAAGTGAGAGCGAGAGAGCACGGAAGATCTCTAGAGAAAGGTTGTGGGAGAGAGAGGAAGTGCATCTAGAGATGCACAGAGAAAGATGGACATACCAAAAGAGAGAGAGAGAGAGAGAGAGAGAGAAAGAGAGAGAGAGAGAGAGAGAGAGAGAGAGAGAGAGAGAGAGAGAGAGAAAGAGAGAGCGACAGACTAAAATATTTGTAATGTATATTTTTTCCTTAAGAAAAACTTTGAAAAGAAAAGTGGTTTAATGATTTTGCGAGTGTTGGAGTCGCACTTGCACTCACCACAATGGCAAATACGGACATCTAGGCTATAGGGGATGCATGCGATTTTTCATGCGACCCGCGGTGGCACTTGAGGCCTGCGACAAACTGTTTGCTTAATAAGTTCCTGCCGCACACTTTCTGTTTGTTCCCACGCTTCAAGCATCTGGCCTCCGGTAACCAGTTACCAGCTCCGAGCTGCCTGCTATCAACTACCAACTCCTCCTGGCTATTGCAACCACATGAAAGCCTCCGGGTGGCAAGCAAACAATGAGGCAGCCACTGCCGTCGGCAGTCAGGGGTCAGGGGTCAGAGCCGGGTCGCTTTGCAGCTCTTCTGCGGTCACTGGTCCACTCCTTGGGCATGCCTGGCACGTCTCGATTCGTTTAAAAGTTGAACCCAGCACCGGCCGGGGGTAAAAATCAAATTCAATTAGCCCGGACACCGCATGTGCGAAGGCAGCGGAAAAAAATGGTTTTTGAATGGGAGTCCTGGGCGTCAGGTAATTCACTTTTTCCCATGACTAAGCTTCAGAGAGGGTGAAAGGAAGAGGTTCTTTAAAAGGAGTATCTATATCCCCTTGGGCACCTAACTTTAATTAATTGAATCAATAGGCTAAGACAAAAATATATTGTGAAATCTCGGCTTTACTTTTAAAAACATATATCCTATACTTTCGATTTATGCAAAGATATTTCCCGGCATTAAACTTTTAGCCATTAAGCTCGAGGAAATTTGCATATATTTATGTCGACAGCGTGGAGAGGTATCTGTATCCGTAACCGGTGGAATTCAATAAATATGAAACTCATTCATCACTGTCAGCTTAAGCTGCACATGGGCTGGATCGGCCTTTAATGATACCTTAAACGCATTGCCCAGGAAAATGTCAAGTGTTTTTGGGAGTTTTCGTCATGTGTGTTGTCTACTTTTCTGTATGATAATGACATATATAATTCTATAATGATATTCAACATTAAATAACCCTTCTTTAAAATCATAAATTTCAGCCAAAAGTAAAATATCTATATGGTATGCCTTGTACTTTTGTTAAAAATCCTATTAAAAATATTTAAAACCCAATTTTACCATTAATTTTCCTATAGACTACCTCCCTTCCACATCTCCCTAAATATTGCGTATACGCACTGATGGGCCGTGCTAAGTGCGTGGCATCTACTTTTCGATGCTGTCAATGAATTTTCGTAGGCGAGTGTGTGCCTTAAATGAAATTTTCCCGTCGGCCAATTGCAGGCGCCGCCAGTCGTTCACGGTTCAAAATTCAAATTTTTCAGAAGCAATTACGCAGGAGGCTTTGATGTGGCTGCTTAGATGCTTTGAACTCCATTCCACAAGCAAATAAAATATAAAGAAAGAGCAAATAACAAAGCCGGAATGCCTAGAATGCAGGCGAGTCCTTAAAGAAGGATATTTAAAATTTATATATATACCAAATACATACAGAAATTGATACCACATTGCCACGAGGCAGTAAACAGTGGCGACAAGGAGCCGGAGCGTCGGTTTTGCCCCTTTTTAAGCGCCTTTATGGCTAATTAAATGAAATTGAACAGGTCCGCGCTTAATTGCCAGCACAAGCAGGTGTATTAAAAATTAATAAAAATACAACAACAACAGAAAAAATAAAAGAATTTAAGAGGAAAATGCAGAGTGCGGCAGTGTTTTTTATTGACTTTTTCCCTATTTAATTAACTTTGGCAAAAAGGGATTTTATGGCAGAGCTTAGAGACAGAGGAGACAGGATAGCTTTTAAAGCAATGAAATTTAAAATTCCTCTCTATTTGTTTTGGGCGCACCACATGGCGTATGATTAATGCGTCGCTCTCTGTGCACATTTCATTAAATAAATTGTAATTTATCAAAAGCAGCGAGGAGACGTCGAGTGAAAGCAAATCAAATAAATTACAGACAAGTTGAAAAACTTTGACCATTAAATGCCCTAAACCAAATACGGCCAATGACGAGGACTTGTTGTTTTTTCTGCTCCCGCTCCTTGTTGTTTTTATTTGCCCAGCATTTCATTGCAATTGATTTTTGGTGTCAGCTGCACGCTCACCCGGAGACAGACATGTCCGAGCTAAAGCCTGGCCCCCGCCCCCCACCGACTTTCCCCCATTGACTTTCTCTTTGGCCACCAAACCCGACAAATGCTGTGGTTGCGGCTTAAGTTTGTCGGCAAATTGAAAACTTTGTTGGTTAACTTGCCAGCGGAACTGAGGGCGCAGGAGCGGGAGCAGCTTGGAGGGCACAAAAAATAGCCGAAAGCCCGTTCACATCAATACCACATTCCTTCGTCGTCATCCCCACAATCATTCCCCCCAAAAAAATAAACATCCCGCCGAAACCAGAAGGCCTGGGTTCGCCAGTTGTGGCTGATTTTCTGGCTGTTGTGCTGATTGCATTAACCCAACCGAGTTGGCGTCGAACAATGTACAGAATCAGAAAATAATCAATATAGGAATCGACATTCCATATGCTCTGATAACAGTCTTATGAAAATAATTAGTATCCCCCTTAAATTGGATTTAAAATGTAATATATTATAAGTTTAAGATAATATAAGGTGGTCTATATTTATAATAGTTATAAAAATAATAAGTATCCCCCTTAAATTGGATTTAAAAGGCCATATATTATAAGTTTAAAATAATATAAAGTGGTCATATCGTGCTCTTTGTATGAAATTATTGAATAACACATATTATTTTATTTCAGATAAGGAACAAGTATAGAAATCAAAGGGGTATAACCTATAGGCTCCTATGTATTATGCTAGCTAAGTAAATTAATATATGTAGTTAGCAGAGTACCTCAAATATATAGTTTCTTCACTTTCCAGCTATTCCTAGACCCTTTTCCCCAACTAAAAGCTAAAAATAACTACCTAAGCTTTTAATATAAATAAATAAACAGGACGGCTGACCCAAAATCAAGCCCAATCGAAGCTTGGGATTCAATCTGTTAATGGAAAATACTTGGAAACTTGGAGCTAAGGAAAGCCGCTTAAGGGAACTCAGACACCCAGGCGACAGACGGAACTACACAAGGACGGTGTGAGGAAGCCTCGATGCACCTGGGCCACCGTTATGATCTCATCCTCCAGCTGGACATCGGTGCTGGAGAAGGGCGAGGCTCCGGTGATCTGATTATAGCCCGACTGCATCACCCGAATGGAGGCCACTCGCTCGCGCCAGGTGTGCCAGTAGTGTTGCTTGTAACGATGTCCACCGAACTCAAAGATCATGGGCTGCTCCTTGGACATCACAGGCTGACCCGATGGCTGGACAGCGGTGACCATCATGAGGTAACGATTGCTCTTGCGGTAGAAGTGGAAGCGAAGGAACTGCAGCGGCAGGATGCAGGCCAGCTCGAAGGACTCGATCTCATAGTCCAGACCCTTGGCCAGGAGCCAAGACCACCTTCTGCTAGACTCTACAATTTTGTCGCAGCCAAAGAGCAGATGGTTGCAGGTGAGTCCCATTTGGTATTGGCGCAGGCCAATGCCATGGACATCCACCAGGACAATGGGATTCTCCACCAGCAGCGGCTCGTAGATCTCCTCGTACTCGGCCAGCAAGAGTTTCTGCAGGCGAAACATCTCGGCAACGAGTTTGGCTATAATTTAATTGAAATGTCAATCAAAGTTTGCTTGTTTTGTGCGAGACTTGTCGCCGCTCTCTGTCGCCTGACAAGTTATCGAAAACTAACCGGCCAAGTCGACCAGATCCGAGTCAGAACTTAGTCACAGCTATAGTCATTGCCGAATGCAAATCACTGGCCATCCGCTGTCATTCCGCAGACTTCAGCTTGGAGTCTGCATTTGAATTTAAATTGGTATTTGCCCGTTAGCAACTGGGGGGCACCGAGTCCTCCAGCATGAAGCGTTGATGAGCGTAATGATCAAGTTGGTCTCATGGAATGCAGTTTGCTCTTCGTTTAAAACCAAAACTTTGAATATTTAACATGAAAAAGGGGATAGCATTGTATCCTCTTAAAATTCACCTTAAATAAGGTTAAATAAAGTTATATATATAGCAGTTTTACATTTCAGGAAAGTGCACTAAATTCCTGGTAATGAATATTGGTTGGTTTTATCATTTAAACTTGAGCTTTTTCTTAAATTCTCTCCTTAATTTTCAAAGAGAGCCAGCTTTTTCCTGTAACGCTTATCATAGTTTGTTTTTGGGTTGGATTGTTGGGTATTTCCAGGAAATTTAATTTTGATTTTCTATAGTAAAACCTTTTTAAATTTTCCTGTGAATTTATTTTATGGTCTATGGATTTATTAGTGACAATAAATTGTCCAGTTTGTTGGATAAATATAAATGGATATATATATAATTAAGTAAAGAGAAATTGAATTGTTTTAACCTATAACCTATATTAAGTATTTTTTTTTAATTATTTGTGTATATTCATATTTTAATATGCTTAAAGAAACCCCAGAAAGTTGGGATCACTTGAATTCAGAATTAAAAGAAACAGGAATAGGCTTTTGTTTATCTTTTTTCCAGCTCTAATATTTGACAATCGACAATCGAGGACTATGAGTTGTACAAACTTTATCAATCGCCGATTTTAATATAATTTTATTTCAATGTTTATTTTCACCCCCTGCCCCTCCTGAGAGAGGGCCGAGAAAGTTCGTTTCCTGCGACATTCTGTGGCATTTTTGTGCTCGCTGTTCGACATGGCTACAAGTTCGCAGCCATAATCTTGGCTTATGACTGCCACAGTTCACCATTTGTGTGTTTTTTTTGCTCCTCCTTCGTGTTCTGTCACAGAGCAAACACTTTTAAAATATTCTGATTTATGACAAACTTTCACCGCCCCCCTTCACCACTTTCGAGTTGCCATTTGGCACTTTCTACTTTCCACTTTCCACTTTCGCGTCCATGTCCTGGCCATGTCCTTGCGTTCATTTCCAGCACAGTTTCACTCGGCTGCCGGTGGCAATTGGTGACAAAATATAAAAGAAAACTCTGGTCCTAGCGGGATGCGGGCTGATGCTGATGCTGCTCACTTTGTCAGCCATTTAATTTAGCCACGTTTGCAATGGCAATGGCAACGGCAACGAGTAGTTGCAGTTTCTGCTTTTCCTTTTACTTTTGCCTCTCCTTGGGGCGGAGGGGAAAAAAAGAGTTACCGCGCCAAGTACTGTGTCAAGTGGCATCTTTACAGTTTTCAAAGCAATTAGTTCCGAGCAAAATTACGAGAACAGACATGGATCCGGATACAGAGATATCCAAAGAGAGATAGAGTTCCACAGACAAATAGTTAAGCATAACTTATGGTTCGCATTATCCGCTTTTCCCGCATTTTCCCTTTCTTGCTAATTTGGGCCAATTCACTTGGCCATATCTGAGGTCCTGGTCCTACATCTGGCAAATCCCCCATTGATTAACTCCGGTGCAAGTTGGAGCTGTCACAAATCACACACACAAAATACAAGATACATGGCAGGCGACATAATGAAATCCCATCCGCATCCGTAATCGTATACAAATGCCGTCTAGAGGGCGAAGGGCAGAGTCCTGCAATTGGGGAATTAATTAAAATTTTCTCGTTTGGCATGTTTATGATGGCACTCTCAATTAATTTCAGGCCTCGTTGAGCAGAGAGCAAAATGTGCTGAGGTTCCTTTTCGAAGGAGCCTCGAATAAGGGGGTTGCACGGTAAATAGGTTACGAATTAATGAATATATATATACTCTACATTATACATATCTCAATTTGTTTGCTTGCAAAGTTCCTTGATATTTAAATTAGTTGCTTATTAAATAAAATAGTATAAATGAGGTCTTAAAGTAGCAAGCTAATGCGTTTTAAATTATTGTAAAACTCAAGTTGATTGCTAAATAGCTTAGCTAAGAGAATATATATTACAGGAATATAATAATAATAAACAATAAAGTGATTTAGAATCCAAATTTAATCATAGTTTCACCCCGCATAAACCCTGTAATGTGCGACACAATTAATTTAGTTTCGTGTGAATTGCTCAAGTTGCTTTTCATGTCGGTTTTTGGGGGGCAATTAATGCCGCTTAATGTATTTCATTGTCTCGATCATGGAGTTTTCTGCCAAAACTGTTGCCAACAATTTGCTCATCCAATTTAAGTGCCAACATCTACGGGCTAATGGTCATTGGCTTAAACATTGACCGCCAACTGCATTTCCCCTTGATTCGAATAGTCCTCACACACCTGTGCTCTGCTGTGCTTGAGTGCAGCAATTAGCCAGGAGAAACAAAAGTGTATAAATACGTGTGCACCGAAAGAAAGGAATTATTCAAAACAATAACGAATGAAGCTGCTTTGTGACAGTACTTAATACCCATTCTATCCCCTACTTTTTCCTCAGTGTAAGCACTAGTCGAGAGTGTGTGTGCTAGGCTTGTTTGCTCACTTTATTACAGCCTTTGCTCTTTTCATTGCAAACGTTTCACGTTTTTATTGTTAAATGCGGCGCAACATAAAACATAAAACACGGCAGAGCTGCTGCTCGCATGCCCGGTGGAAACGGAAGTGGCTACCAATTGTAGTGCGGATGTCGGATGTGGATGTGGGATGTGGGATGTGGAATGTCGGTGGGCTATGAAACAGTATCCTCATCCGGATTCGTAGGCCTCTCCACTCCTTGTGTAGTGGCTAGGGCCTTTGTGATGTGTGTTTACTTTGTGGCTTAAATTGTAATATCATGCGGTGCCATTACGTTTCTATTCGTTTTTACTTTTTATACATTTGCAGTAAAAGCGCTGCATGACAAAAAATTAAGTATACGCACTTGAAGTGACTTAATTTAATGACTTCATCTCGCTGAGAGGCTTGGTCTTATGCTGATGGGAAAGAAATAAAAGCCAAACTACTTATTCCAAAGGCTCATCTCTGGCAGAGACTCATTTGGATTTAAGCCAGAGCCAGGAACAGAGCTCAAAGGTAAGTGGGAAGCGGTAATTGCCACTCTGCCCTTACTCTACTTTCTCCCAGGTGCTTTGAATGTTAGTTAAACTTTCACTTACACCGACACAACCTTTTAGCAGAAGCCCCTCAAAATGGGGGTTTTATGCATGCTTAGATTTGCTCCTCCAACGAAAGGATATAGAGATAAAGCCAAGAATGAAAGTTTACGAATCAGAAAATACTTTATACCTAACAGAATACTGCAATTACATTATGAATCTATTTTAATCACTCCTGAAACTCCTTATTATTTGGTTTACCTTTCATAATATCTTTTGTCTAGTTTGGTACAGTATTCTTCCACTTAATATAGAAATTTTTAGGACTGGCAGCCAAGATGAAGCAATAACTAATTCCCTTCAATCTCCCTGAGTACCTGAGGCACAATTTAGCCTGATTGAACTACTACACATACGTTTGTCTCCCACAAGTTTTGATGTCAGCAAACTTTCGCCTCTTTATCTCACTAGCCATCTCTATAGCCATCTTAATTTCCATCTCCCTCTGTACCTGCAGCTGCAAGGACTCATTCTCATCTCCATTGCCATTCCAGGAGCTTGTGCGCAATTCGAGCATTTGGCGCTTATCGCACATCTCATCCTAAAAATGGTAACCGACACATTTGCACAATTGCTCCTTGTAACTGACACGTCAACCACGTCCAAAAATCCGAACGTAAACGTAAGTTAGAGCAGGAACTGAAGCCGAAGGAAGTGCTGTACTTCCGGCTAGAGATGAGCGACATCCGGTATCTAGAATCCCTTGAGATGCAATAAATCCCATTGAGTTGCATTCTCAGTCAAAGTTTTAGCTTTCCATTTTTAAAACAAGAATATAATGTCTTTACTTTAAAGCTTTAAAACCTTTGTTCTAAAGAGTATTTCCCATCACGAGCTCATCTCTAATGCAAATGTCCTGCCTCAAGTTGCTGTCGCTTTCAGTTCCGGTTCCTGTCAGCCGTGAGTCTGGGATCCTGGCACTGCAGGCAGATTTAGTTTATGTCCTGGCAACTATCTAATGCAATTCACGTGTGCGAATAAATGCAGTTGTGGGTGTGTGTGTGCGTGTGTGGCTGCGTGCGTGGCTCCAAGTGTCGGAGAGCACATTACACACACACACACTCCCATAAGCGACTTAAAGGTCCTTTCCCACTGGGGCATAAAATTCAATGTCCGTATGAAGTCCATTTGCATTGAATAGGTGAGTAGATAGAAGGTGTCTGCCAGCCCGTTTAGAACCGAAGCTCTCCGTCGAGTTTTGCCCGTGTTTTATATGCACAATAAAAATATTTTCACAAGCTCTGTAGTTGCAGTCTGAAATACCCGCCAGACACCACACACGCACACATTTTGTGTAACAATCCTTGAAATCCTTGATCTGTGCAACATATGCCAAGCTCTCTTTCTTTTTCAAAATTCTCCAGCAGCAGGTGAAAGGCTGCTTCACCCTGTTCAAACAATGGAAAGCAATTAAAGTCCATGTTTTAAGTCAACGAATTTGCTGTGAATAGGCTCAACACATCTATATGAATGAATTTGAATTTAAATTAGATTTTTTATTTTGTAGCTGAGGACTTGATTTTGAAAAAGGTCCCATACGTATTCATATTCAATCAAGGGTTTTCAGAGATTTCTTGTGTGTTAAAAGGTCTTTTAAAGTATTTAATTATATATTTAGGAAGTAACTCTAAAGTGACAATTTCTTGAGAG